GAACTATCAGTAATAACTGCTAATGGACCTGTAGCTCTGGCATTTGAGTTCCTTGTGTTTTTCATCCTCATCTTCAACATATGAGGAACTGTCATCTAACCTCTGCAGCAAATCATCCGGGAGATGAAGCTCATACTGCTGTCTTTTTTATTTTTTCTCCAAAGCGTCTTGCTAATGAAGCTTTTTTTTTTTGTTGTTCCAGTGTGCATACATGTGACATCAGTGGTTGGTCGAGAGGCGTTTCAGGGCAGAGATCTGTGAATGTAGTCAAGATTTTGGAGCAGAGAAAATATATAACAGAAAGTCTCTTACAAAGTGGGGACATGGGGTTTGAAAGATGTTGCCCTTTACCAGGCAGGGCAGAATGAAGTATTGGGTTGCATTATGGGAGATGTAGTGTTTATGAACCTAGAGACTACAAGGCTCGATATTTCTGCAGCTGCTGCACCGATAGAGTATTTCTTTAAATACAGAACTTTGCATAAATGTTGGAAAAGGAGTCAGGAAGTATCTAACTGAAAGTAATCAAGCCAAAGAATGTGGCCAAACAACGATGCCAGCTTTTCACACTTGACTTCTTTTTAAGCCTGGTGGTACTGACCAGAGGTCTTCACAGGTCCTCTCATTTCCTAGTACAGCCTGACCCAGGACCTGAGTTGGACCAGGTCCAAAATCATATTCAGGTCGGGTTGAATTGCCGCAGGTTTTTGTTTTAGAGACAGAAAGTGTGAGCTGGAAGTGCAAGAAAAATGACATCTGATTCTGAGTCCAATTGGTGGAGCATCATGTTGCTGCTGCTGGGGTTGGTTTTCTCACTATATATTTCAAATACATGTTGGATCGGGTTTGATTGTTCTCATGTCTCTATCTGTCTTATGTCAGGTCAGGTTCGGGGAGGTTTTCAATGTCTGTTTTGAACTGTGTTCAAAATTTTGAACTTGTGAAGACAGATTTCAGTCTGTTCTAAAGAAGTACTTAGGTACAATAATCACATGATAACAATCATTTTCTATCAATCAAATAATTGATACATCATCTCCATCTCTTGTCTGTCATGTTATTGATATGCTTACCTGCTGAGGAGACCCATTAGCTGCAGTAAACAGCAATGTAAATGCATCAGATTTATAATAACATGGGCTGCACAGTGCAACAACTCAAATAGGACTCTGGGTACCCTGAAACTATAAAATGTGTCTCCTGTGCAGGCGGTGAGAAGCTGATCAAGGCTGTGAGAGCATGAAATATGTCCAACATTAAGTGACACTGGGGACAAATAACAGCTTGCCCAATACTAATTAAGTGTTGAAATACTCTCAATTTTTCTGGCAAATGTGTTTTTCCCCCAAATGATTGGGACACCTTTTCAAAGCTCCAACTTCGCAGAGAGAAAATGCACCCAAACCTCATTTTATCAGATTATTTTTTTCTGATATTTCTGTTAAAATTTTCTGTCAAATGTAAAAGCTTTCTTCCTCCTCGTCCTCTTCTTCTGCGTTTGATTCTTGTCCTCTTTTTTCTGCTCGTCTTCCCTCTGTGTTTTCTTTTTTCTGCCTCTTTAAACTCTCTGTTGTCCCTCTCTCCACCTCCCTCTTTATGTGTATCTGCTTTCTTTTCTCCTTCGTCTATTTCTTTTCACTGTCTTCTCTCTCTTTCTGTCTGCCAGGCCATGGCCTACTTAAAACGTCTTCTGCTTTGTGCCTGTTTCTCTTTCATCAGCTTGAAAGTTTTTAGATTCTCCCCTCTTTCTCTTTCCCTTTATCTCCGTGCTTCTTTGCCACTGTCTCTTTTTTTATATCTCTCTCCCTTTTACCTGCTTTTGTCCTCCTTTTATTTTTACCCTTTCTCCCTCTCTTCCCATATTTATTCATACCTGTCTCTGTCTCTCTCTCCATCTGTTTCTACCTCGCTCCCTCACTTCCATTGTGTGGATGATAGCTGTCAGGAGATCTCATCACTGAGTCTCTCTTATTACATGATTACAGGGTAATTATCCTGTGAAGTTGTCTTTGCCCGAATCTGTGAAAGACGCTTAATGTCTTTTTAATGGGGTTTGGAGACTTTTTTTGTCTTTTGTAGTTGCTGTGGACTCTTCAATTTATTGCATTTACATGTGATTGGCCTGGAACAGCGTGTCCTGATTAAGTGGCACTTGGATTCAACGTAATTTTTGGGCGCGGCGTCTCGCTCCAAGTTGTCAGTCAGAGCGGCGTTATTTTTAACTTATGGCCTTGGCTTTGTCAGCAGACGCTGTCATCTGCCAGCGTCTGATGAAGCTGGACCTGATGAAGCTCCTGTGATGTTCAGGAGGAGCGCCGACACAGAAACCTGGTATGGACTTTAGAGGGAAGGGGATGGGCGGGCAAGCAAAATGTCATGTTGCTTATCAAGACCCAAACCTCCCATCTTTAATGTGGAGTGGTTGTGTAACAAGCAAAACAGCTCCAGAGGATATATATGTGTTATTACAGACAATCTTTATCTCTATAACTCTGCAGTAGTCAGGGGTATTTATCAACTCTGGCTCCAGTCAGCAGTGATGTAAACATGACACTCAGGTGGATGCGCCTCTTCCATTGTGACACAACAACGCACCAGCACAAATACCACCAGTCTTTGTCCAAGCAGCGCTTGAACATCATTTAAAATTAGTCAGCACCAAGTTTGAAAGAGAGACTGAATTATTAAGCGATATACAAAATCAAGTAGGATAGCATGGTGGTGGAGTGATTAGCGTTGTCGCCTCACAGCAAGAGGGTTCCTGATTTGAACCCAGGGTGGGGGAGCCCTTCTGTGCAGAGTGTGCGAAGTGTGGGTTTTCTCTGGGTTCTCCAGCTTCCTCCCACAGTCCAAAGACATGCAGGTTAATTGGTGACTCTAAGTTGCCCGTAGCTGTGAATGTGTCAGCCCTGTGATAGTCTGGCGACCTGCTCAGAGTATACCCCTGGGGTAAACCTCTGTAGGGGGATTCTCCCCTGGGATTTTTTTTTTTTTTTTTTGGAAGAACCTTAATTTTGATGCTTTTTATATGCAATCTGGCATCTTATTTACCTCATTTACTCTTAATAACAGTTTCTTGTTCTATATTGATTATTCATTTTGATGTTAAAGTATTAGTAGTTGTTATTAATTTGTATTGAGTAAAAACAAAATACTTTGCCACTGATTTCATTAAAATTTAGAGAATTCTGGGTACTTGTACTTGAGTATTTCAGTTTTATACTACTTTATATTTCTACTCTTTTCTCTTCTTTCTTTTTTTTTACACTTATACATTTATTTGTCTGCTTTAGTTGCACCGAGAACTTAGATTGTTAATACAAAATATGATCAACTTATAAAGGATGATGCATAATTACAGATTAAACTACCAAGCAGAATATAAAGCCGTTAAAATGAGCTCCACCTTTACCAGCTGCAACATAAATGTGATTACTGCTGCTCTTTCTCTCTTGCACGTGATCACACGAAATGCGCTGCTTGAATGATACAGAAGACCCAAAACTTACAATATCATATTATTTTTGAGGGATATAATGTATAAACAAAATGACATATTATTAGATCCTGAGCTTTCTACAAATTGAGGCCTATTCTTATACAGCCTAAGTAGATCAGATCTATTCATAAAACATTTGCAGATGAGGCCTTAGATGCCCAGGCCTAACAACGCCATTGATGATAACATAGGATATGTATGGTGCATTACTTTCCATAGAAAACATACGAACAATAAATGAGAACAACCTGTGAATGTGACACACTGGTAAAAAAAAAAAGAAAAAAAAAAGATAGGCATATTCATCTACTGCAGAGCCGTGTACACACGTCTATACTGCTTGTGATGTTAAAGGAATCTGTCACCCATTTTAGCAGGTTTCCCCGCTTTTAAAATACCCACATATACACACTAATTTTGGTGGGAAAACGATATAAGATACAGTTTTATAATTTAACCATTTGTAACCTTCTCAAATGAAAATATACAAACCTATCCATCCATTTTTTCTGCTTATTAGGGCTGGGTTGTGGCAGCATTCATTATACTATTAAACTCTTATTATGAAGACTGGCAGATCACCAACAGGCTAAAATAATGGGCTAATATACAGTAATTTAAATGAATTAAAAGGGTATTTGTAACTCCCGTTAAATCTATTTTGTTGTTGTTGTTGTTGTTGTTGTTGTTTTTGTTTGTTTGTTTTTTTAATCTGATCAGCAGTCCAAAAGCAAAATATTTATTTGCCATTTAACAAAAGATTGATATAACACAGATCACCAGCAGGAAAACATCACCTTATTTGAGAAGCTGGAGTCAGTGGATGAATTTCATTTTTGCTTGACAAATGTTCAATGTAATTTTAATTGTTGCAGATCAAATTTATGAAGACTTACTGATTCATTTGAGATGAGGCAGATAAACTGATAACAATACTAATTATTAATTAATAACACCTAAAGGGTTTTTAGGACACTGTGTTGCTTTTTTAGTCATAAATATTTCATGTTGTAGAGAAAATAAGTTTCAGGTGTTGAAAGTTTATTGCTTCATATCCAGCTGACTGTCTTTGACGGAGCATTTGATCCAAAGCTCATAAAAGTACAACACACTGCATATATTTTCAGTACAAGTGACCCCGGTGAGAATGAAAATCTCTGTTGATGTTGCTGTGTTTTATCTTTGGTACTGTGCTGATCTCACATCTCTCAAATAAATAGAACCCAAAGTGTAGTTTGAATGTTTACAAAAGTGCAGATTATCTATTTTTTACCCATCTGTCATTGCCCATCATACATTTTTCCCATTCTTTGTCTCATTCTGGATGAATGCAGCACATTGCTTCACACACAAACAATATCAACATGACTTCTCTCTATGTTTTTCTAACATGTATTTTTCTCTGCTTTTAGTCTTTCCCCAAGTGGCTGCAGCGCAGCTCACTGAACACAAACAATATTAACATGTAATTTTCTCTCTCTCTCTGTTTGTCTCTGCGCAGCTTGAGAGCCACTGCTGTCTGTGATGCCCTCCCATGACGCCCAGGTCGGTAGCTGACACTGCCAGTGAGCGGGAGACGCCACTGCACAACTGGTCCTGGGCCGGCACCATCAGCCGGTTCTCGCCCTCCCTCTTGCACGCTGGAGACTCCAACTCCACCCACTTACCAGTATCCACAACCATCAGCTCCGATCCACCCCAGTAAGTCCCTTTCAAAAACCGACAGGCTGACATCCTCAGCCAGTACCAGCAGCAGCAGCAGCCAAAAACTACAGTATCTTCAACGCAACACCAGCACAACCATTATCACCACCACCAGCAGCAACCATCATGTCCAGTCGTAGAAAGTCCTCCACCCCCTGCATGGTCCGGGTCATCAGCGACCTGCCTGAAGAGCAAGATGACCCCGACATGGACATGGAAATAATGGTGGACAACGATGCAACCGAAAAAGAACAATCAGAATCTGAATCTGCAGAAAAGAGTGAAGACCCCCAGCAGAAGGATACAGAGAATCCAGACCAGCAGACGTTTCCACAACCAGTGGAGAATCCTGAGCCATTACAAAAAGAGGAGCAGTTGGGTGAGAAAGATCAACCGCCTGTTATTGAGGATGTAGAAGCCACAGAGAAGGACAGGGAAGGGGTTGACTCTGACCCGACGTACCAGAAAAAGCAGCCCAGAGGCTACGAGTGCAAATACTGCCCGTTCTCAACGCAAAACCTGAATGAATTTAAGGAGCATGTGGACTCCAGTCACCCGAACGTCATTCTCAATCCGTTGTACCTCTGTGCTGTCTGCAACTTCAACACCAAGAAGTTCGACTCACTCACAGAGCACAATGAGAGCCAGCACCCGGGCGAGACCAACTTCAAGTTCAAGAGGATAAAAATGAACAATCAGACTATCTTAGAGCAGACAATCGAAGGCAAGGACAATTCAGTTGAATGCGAAGTGACAAATGAACAGGGCGAAAGCATCAGCAGTTCAGTGATTCCGCCTTGTATATCAACCACAGTGAAAACCCCAGATAATATTCAGCAGTTCTATCCAGGGAGCGAACTGAAAAGCCAGCAGGACGGCCTGATCCAGAAGAATCAAATCACAGCAGTGAACATCAACGGAACAGTCATCATCCCCGAACCCACCATCCTCCAAGGGCTCTCCCATGTCACCCCGATGCTCCAGCGCCCTCCCAACTTTAACTCTGTACCAAAAATAGCTGTTCCCTTGAACACCACCAAATATAACCCTTCGTTAGATGACAACTTGACATTGATCACCTCCTTTAACAAGTTTCCTTACCCGACACATGCTGAGCTGTCGTGGCTTACAGCTGCCTCCAAGCACCCAGAGGAACAGATCAAAGTCTGGTTCACCACACAGCGGCTGAAGCAAGGCATCACCTGGTCCCCGGAGGAGGTGGAAGAAGCCAGGAAGAAGATGTTCAACGGTTCAATCCCTCCTGCACATCACACATTCACCGTCCTGCCTACAAGCCCCATCTCTCAGCCATCTGCCAAATCCTCCCAGCAGCCCATTGTCCACACTACAGTCGGGCATGCAAGTCACGCCCGGACAGCCGCGTCCAATGGGTTAAGTGCAGTCGCTACCACAAACTCTCTTGCCGGAGTTACCACTGGCTGCAGCCCCGCCCTTAAACGATCCCTGCCAACACACCTGACGACAGTGTTCGGCCCGGAGTCTAAGCGGCCCATCATGGCAGTTGCCCCCCATTCTGGCGACGCCAAAGACAGGGGCCTTATGGCTCCTCCTCCACCCCCTCCTCCCCCAAAAGACCGCCTCCCAATGGCTCCACCTCCTGTTCCCATAGAGATGAAGAGACCTGTAGCAGTTCCTATGGTCACCATGGAGATGAAGAGGCCATCCGTTGCTGTGCCTTTTATGCCACCGCCATCATCGTCATCACAACCTTCGCTGTCCAAAGGGAAGATTCCCTTGACATTAGGAAACCCCAAAACAAAGCCGGTGGTGTCGCTGCCCTCCATTGTCTTTCCAGAGTCTTTAACACGGCCACTGATAGTTCCCCCGCCCATCTTTGCCCCGCCATTTAAAAACACATTACTTTTTCCTCTTAGTTCACCCAAAGAAAAGCACCAGAATACCCACACTTTGCCAGCTGCTGATTTGAAGCTGCCAAACTCCCCGCCACTTATTACCCCACAGATAAGGAGGCCGACGATAATCCAGTCAATCCGCGCTCTGGCTAAAGCCCCTTCCCAGATTCCAGGCTTCCCCTTGGATAGCAAGAAACTAAAAGAGCAGCAGGGAGTGGAGGTGAAAGCCAGCTACCCCAGAGGAGATAAGGTACTCACTCCTCTGGCAGAGGCCAACGGGACATCTCGCACGGACGGAAAATGGTCCCACGATCAAACCTCCCTTCCTCACAACAATGGAGTCATGCATGTGGATGGTATTGAGCCACCAGCAGCAATGAAAGCAGACTTTCAGCAAAAGTCCTCGGTGCTGACCCAGTTCCCATTGCTGGAGAGGATGAAAGGAAAGACGGCGGAGCAGCTAAAGATCTTAGAGGAGAATTTCTTGAGGAATAGCTTTCCCACGCTCAGCGATGTGGACAATCTGGCAGGCACCACACGCATGTCTCATCAGGAAATCGACAGCTGGTTTGCAGAGCGCCGTGCATTACGAGACAACCTGGAACAAGCCCTTCTCAATTCCATGGGCACTAAAAGGATGGGCACTGGTGGCGGTGCTGCCATCTCCAAGAAACGTCCACAACAGCAATCTCTACAGCTGAATGGGATTCACAAACCAAGCACCGGTATTAAAAGCCCACTTCCACCCTCTTCCACCCTACCCATCATTGCGCCCTCCATCCCCAACCCGAATTCCTGCTCAGTGCCTCCAGACAGCCGATCCCTGGCGCTCCTCAAGGATGATTTTGCTCAAACGCGGTGGCCTTCCCCTGAGGAGTTCAGCCAACTGGAGGGTCGGACAGGACGTGCCGAACTTGCCCGCTGGTTTAACGACAGCCGGCTGCAGAGTGGTAACATGGAACTGACAGAGCTTTTTCACAACAATGGAGTGAATGGAGGGCAAGGGCCACCTGTGGGCTCTCCCAAAAATGCTCCCCTGAGCATCCTCCAGCGTTGTCAGGAAGGAGCCCTCACAAACAACAACAATGGCACTAAGGTGTTGGAGGCTGAGTTGGGCTGGCTGATGGATCAGCGCACTAACAGCCTCAGCAGTCAACAGCACAATGAGCTTCAAGACCGGTTTGCTGGCAGGTACTTTATTCACAGAATATTTTAAGTATGTTTTTTTACGTGTTTTGCTTTAATGTTTGGTGACGTAAGTGAAAATGTTTTAGATCAACCCAGTCACCACCAAAAATGTTGCCATTGTTTCTGCAAACAAATATGTTGCATTTGCATGTTATTAGGTAGCGGAATCATTGAAACTTTACATTTCAACAATGGATCAACGTGTGGTTAGGTTTAGGTACAAAAACTACTTGGTTATTGTTAGGAAAAGATTATGTTTTGGCTTACAATGCACACTTTTTCCCCACTGGAAAAACAGCGAGGTGTCGCTAAAAACCAACCATTTTTGTCATTTGTTACTCACTAGTTATCAGCTCGGCTTGCACACAAAGGATCAGGGGAGTCAGTCTTACTGACTCATATGATTTTGCCCTCTGTTGTTCAAGCAAAAACTACAATTTTCCACAAGGAGAGATTAAAGAATGCAGGTATACTAGCAGAATAACCCCAACCAAAGCGCCAGAAAAAATGTCAGCATTGTAGGGTTTCTGCAAACCACGGATACGTTACTGTGATTAACATGTGGGTAGGTTTAGGCACAAAAAAACCTTGTTTATGCTTCAGATAAGATTGTGTTTTGGCTTAAAATACCACATTTTTTGGCACAGTATCGGCAACATGGCAATGTCTCAGTAAAAAACAACTGTTTTTCGTGCCACTATTCCTGCTGGAAAAACAGTGACCCGTCCCTAAAAAACACTCACATTTGGGGGCTGAAAACTCAGCTTAAATATTACATCACTGAAGAAATGTGCACATGATGCAAAAATGTACAATGCCAACGTTTTCTTCTGGTGACTTAACTGTCACACTAAACAAGAGTTTGCTCAAAACAGATTAAAATGAACTAGTTTGCGATAATAGATCACAATTTGAATTTTTAACTATGTTCACAGTCCCAAAAAATAAATTAGTTTACGTTCATGAAGACTCATGAATTGAATTAAAATATAATTTTGTGATCATCAATCACTTGCAGATATTTCCCAAGACTGGTCGATGCTTAACTCAACGTGTCATTTCAAATTCATTGTCAATATGGCTGACGTGCAGACTTGTTTTTTCAGATCTGATGGGCACAATTTGCACATAAATGTCAGATTTTCTCTGTTGGAATGTTACTGATTTGTTCCAATATCCATATGTCTCATATGTCTGCTTCAGCAGTACCAGCGGCTGCATTGTCAATATGCTGGGTGCCATAAAATGAGTGTTAACTGACACTCGTTCAAATTCATTAGTTGCAAAGTGGTGTGTTCACTTCACTGTTCACCAAAAATATGAGCATGTTCAGTGACCACATTCATGCACAACACTTCTTGATATGCCACACCTGTCAGGTGGATTGTGTTGGTGCTCACTAATATGAATTTAAAATAATTTGTGTGTACAAGGACAATCGCAGCCACAAAGGTTGAGACATTGTGAAGCAGCTGTTGATGTGGAGACAGAGAGAATGAGAGAGAACAGCTTGTTTCTTGTCTTGTTTTCATGTTTGTCAGAGATAAGAGAGATACACATGTATGATGTTGTTTAATGCAGAATATCACAGTGAATACAGACAATGATGGATATCAGTCTACCACATGCAGCTAAATCAGTTTGTAAAGCTTGACTCATTGGTTGGCTCAGATATTGATGACATATCAACATAATTTGACCGATAATTGAGCAGATCTCATGAAAAGAGTCAAGCCAGTTTTATTTGTTTCCCTCCTCATCACAAAATTGCCTCAAAGGGCTTTACAATCTGTCCTCAGACCCTCGGTTTTAGTTTCTACACCTTCTGTGGTGACCTGTACGACCAAAACAAATTTTGGTTTCGTCTCAGCGGGTTTGTGTTGTTGCCACATTAACATTGTTTTCAGGACATTAACCCACAAATCTTTGGGACTCTATTTAGTCTGCCTTCCGTTCCAGGAGCTTGGGAAAACTTTGGCTAAATAACAGAGCCATTAGGTTGGAAACCAATATCTCCCCAATAATTTGGGCAAGAGTTTTATTCTTCCCATGAGTCAGCTCTGGGTTCAGGCTCAGTCTTTAAAAAGCACCACAGTACCAACCTGCACTGACGGCACATTGAAATCCTGCCGGCTCTTGTTGGTTTTATAAACTCCATAAACAACAAAGCACACTCTGTGATGTACAGACGACTGAGGATTAATGAGACAGCTAATGCAGAGTTGTAGTACAGAGTCATTCATGCTGCATATTTACTCTAGATGCAGTGAAAATCTGCTGAGAGCTGCTGAAGAAGAGTGTTCAGATTTGGATCAGATTGGGAGGCTTCACCTCAAAGTGATCTTTTATTTCATGATTTTTTTAAATTTATTCTTTCAAAAATTGAAGCCCTGACACGAAGTTTGTCCCAGTTTTCATCACAGTGTCTGACACAGTTGAGGCCTATACAAAGACAAGTAAAGTGAATTATTTTGATTATTAGTTTCTCCTCATTATAATGAAAAAAAATGTCCCATTTATGACCCACTTGTGTTAAATCTAATTGTGAGTCTCAGTCGCTTAAATATTGAAAAATGATTGACAGTTGCTTTGGTTGTGAAAAACAACCAACAACGTTAAAAAACAGATTTCAGAAACTGTTTGGCTGACTTTTAGTCCTGTTTCATTATCTGCTAGAATTAATTCAGAGTGATTAAATTTCATAATAACCATATCCACTAATAAATCTGACATACCTGATCATTTCTCAATTAATTAAATTAAATTAACCTACTTTTTCTGTATAACACACACTATCATTAAACTGAGAATTCTCTTTAATATTTATGTGAAGACAACATACCTTTATATGCAGTGTTTAGGAGTAACTACAGAGTTACATCATTAAATTACAAAATAAAAAGTAATTTTAGTCAGTTACTGAGAAAACACGCAATTAAATTACAATTACTTATTTTTAGTAAAAAACGAAATTAAAAAAAAAATTATATGTTGAATATAACATTCTCTCTGTGGCTTTGCATCTTTTCGCCGTGCAGGAACATCTTTTGACATATTTTGACAATGCAGTTCATCAAAGTAAGTGAGACAAGTTTGAGTGTAACACATATGCACTTTAGCCTTATTGTCCAGTTTTAAACAGTTGTTGGAAAAGCAATCTTTTGCATTACTTTAATGAAGTAATTAGTCATATTACTATGACATTTTTAAAGGTGTAACTAGCCATTTGTAATTAATTAATACATTTCAAAAGTAACCTTCCCAGTACTGGATATATGACATTGGTGTTTAGATATACTGACAAAAAAAATCTTAGTCTTAAAGAAATAGTTTATGTTCAGTCAGGAACACTTTAGTCAAAGAAAACGTTATTTCCATTTTGCAGTGTTATATTAAGCAGTATGGCACTGTTCTGGGGCCCTCTGCTTTTCCTAGGCCCACACAGAAAGCCTAAGGTGGAGAGAGCACACCTCCCTGCCCTTCTATGTGCCTACATGGAAAGCTTAAGGTAGGGAGAGCAGCCGCAAAGACCCCCCAGGAACAGAACAGAGCCAGCATCAGTGACAATCAGAAATTACATTGATAAGTCAGACACAGCATGAAAAGGAGAAGCTGGGGTGGGGGCAGGTTGCAAAGCAGCTTGCAGAGGAAGCAGCAACAGTAGGTAGACTAAGCAGTTTAAATAGGGCGCCGTGAATGAGATTTGCCAATTGGTTGCATAGAAAGGAATCATGTGATCTATCAGTGAATGTGACACCCAGGTGAACACGCTAATTTTATGCCCCTTTTGCGATGCAGTGACACGATGATGTAAATTATGTATGTCTCTGTCCTAGCAGTGCTCGAACGTCTTTCCAAATTATTCAGTGCCGAGTTTGAAAAAGACACCTAATGAATAACAGATTTAAAATGTCACCATGATAACATTTTCATTAGTCTCCATTCTGCTTTTTATTGTTTACTTACCCTGTTTTCTGGCACATTCTGGACGTGGACACACCAGACAAAAACAAAGAGGCATACTGGTCAACTGCAGAGCTACACAGCTCTGATCTACTGGCACTGGCACTATCACCTATATATAGGGAGTTGTCCTGCTTTAGAAAACCTGCACATAACCACCAATTGGGGTGGAAAAAGGTTGTGAATGGGGAGTCGGACAGTTCCACTCGATGCTATGTTCACATTTTACAGAATGTCATTAATATTTTCCCCATTAATGATGTATTATTTCACTCACCCACAACCCATCCGTGTGTCCCGGTGTGTGTAACAAGCAGAGTGTATGCACTTTGTGAACCCGCCTTTATATGAGCATCTTACTGTCTGAATAATTCACTCTTTAAATAGCAGGAAATACTGCACCATTCTAAATTTAGCTCAGTTTTTTCTTTTGGTCAATGGCTCAAACGCTTTCTGCTGCCTCAAAATATCAATACAACAACAATGCACCTGACCACAACCCATTTTAAGAATACCATGGGAGCAGACATAGGCGCTACTTAAACAACGTCAGAATGACTTCTGGGTCGGTCTGAAACTAGCAATGACAGCTAGCAATGATTGCACACCTTCCTGTGATGCACACCTTCCTGTGATGTATTACAATACAAATTTATTTATACTTACAAAACAAAAAAACAAACATTTTTTTCATAGCCAGAATCGGAATCAGAGACAGTTTTATTATCAAGTATTTTTGCACCTACAAGGAATTGGTCTTGGTGATTTGGTGCACAACAGTAAAAAGCACAGGGTACCTTTGGGTTAATAGCCTACACATAAAGGTTTTCATTTCATTTCATCTGAACACAGTAAAAGTTGTCTTTTGTCTGACTGTTACTGTCAGTTAACTTGTTACCGACTCCAACAGACTGAGGCAGCAGAATGCAGCGGAGCTGAAGAACGGGGGACAGAATGGGGGAGTGGTGGGAGGAGTACGGGAGGTGTTCGGCAGCTGGCTGGAGGATGGACACTCGAGGAGAGGACGGGAGCTGCTCCTGGACAGAGACAGGAAGATGGCGGAGGACACGTCTGGGAGGCTGACTGGATAAACGGTGAGAGAGCGGCTGGTGTTTTCTATCAGTTCTTCTTAGTTTTGTGGTGTGTTTCTGCTTGTTTCTGTGTCTGATATGTGACATTTTTGTATTAAATGTTGGGTGTATTCAAAATTGTTCCAGAGTCCTTTGAGGAAAAAGTGCAATGCAGGCCCCGAGTTCTCTGAGCTCAGACAATTCTCTGAAAAGCCACATTCATGTCAGAAATAGAATATTTTGTACATGTTAAAAGGCCAGTATCATTTAATTAGACCTGCAACTGAATTTCATTCACTATCAATACAAGTGCTAATTATTTCTTAGTTAAATGATTAATCGTTTATTCTGTAAAATGTCAAAAATGACAAATGACCTCCTTTTAAGTAATTAAGTGAAGCATGAATTACGTTTTTCATTAAAGCATCTCTGAGCAGGATTTCTGTTAAGAAAGAAGCGTGATGTAACAACAGAGTGTTAAAGGTGACCTGTGGAGTGTTGTTATTTACTCAGCCAAACATATTGTGTTTATCCTTGAGCTGTGACAAACATGTTGAATGCACTTCTTTCCTCTGTCTGCATAGCTGAAGTTTCTTCTCTCAAATCTGCAAAGTTTACATCTGTTGATGTTTTACAAGAGCTGGATACTGGACTCAAAGCAGCGCATAAATGAAAAAAGTTTTCTAGTTTCCTGGTTTGCTCCAGCGTTGTGTGGCCAACTGCACATGGTCATTACTGTTTCTGCTTCTGGGAAAGTTTTACAAATAAAAAATCTTTATGGCTGAAAAATCTCAGAACACAAAGAGCAACTAGAAGGGCACTTGGAGAGTGCAGACCTCATCCAGCGCCAAATGCCAGTGTTGAGTCACTACGGGCCCCATAGTGCGAAAGTAGTGCCGATCATTCCTGGATCATCCAGGTGATTTTAGACACGGCAGTTAAACCATTTTGGCTCCATGCACCACTGAGAAACTCTCAAACGAATGAACAGGTCCCCACATTCAACACTACATCCAGGTCTCCTGATACATCCATGGAGCTTACCCCTTGTTAGCTCTGTCAACATCATTACCATTGTAACACCGCACTCATAGCTACCTCCAATTTGGCTCAACCACCTCAATGTTTGCTTGTGACACTGTGACGTCTGAGGTGAAGGCTGTGTGCATTTATTGCAGGTGACGAAACACTGCAAAATTTAAAGGGTTCTTCCTCAGCCAAAACCACACCCTTCCACCCAGTTTCAAGAAAATCAGGCCAGTAGTTTTTCTGTCATGCTGCTGACAGACAGACAAAAACAAGAACTGAAAACACAACCTCCTTGGTGAAGGTAATGATTAACCTTGTTTCTAGGTAGAGGTTTCCTGTCAAAAGCTTTACAGATGTAGAGAAAAAGTTGTCCTACCAGTGGTCAAGAGCTCCACTGGGCACCTTTAATAGAACAAAGTTCTGACATGAATCAAAAACAATATTTGAATTTCTAGAAGATTTAGATTTTAAATTTTCTTAACTAAAACCTTGCCCTGCTTGATCTGTCCGAAATGTTTCTTCATATTTGACCTTAAAAAGTATAAACTGTAGCGGTCTGAAGCCTGCAGACTGTAGTTTATGACTGAATGTGTGGCTGCAGGTCCTCACATGCAGAACGAGTGAAGTGTTTTAACTGGCTGGGCCCTGATGGTCCCCAGTGCCTCCCCACCTCTCCCCAGTCTGTTAGTGTTGAAGCCAACACCTCGATCCCAGGCAACAAACAAAACCACTCCAGCCAGTCACCGTCTGTGTGTGTAGCTGTGTGAGTTTTGGCTTCAGCCGCTCAGCAACAAACACTAACTTCAGGAAAATTTAGGAAGGAAAAAAAAAAAGCGTTATTGGAGGCCTAAAATAGCAGCAGACCCCCCGGTGTGGTAAAGTTTGATAGATAAAAGGCTCCGCCTGGGGCAAAGTGTGACGACAGAGCCTGCTGCTTCCTCCCTCTCCTGTCTCTTCTGACAGAAGATTGAAAGTTTTAATGTTTCTTGTGCTTATCAAAATAGAATCTGTTCAAATGATTTCCTCAAGACAAACAACCGTAAACAAGGCGGAGACTCAACTTCTGACATGAAACTACTGTCACCACTCTGGGATGGCTTCAAAATCAACACTTGACAGCTGAAATCAATAATCAATATGCAGCATTCTGAATATGAAACAAATAACTGTAGATTTTGTAAATGAAAATATTTCTTGTCAGTAAATCTGACATTTAGTCTCTTTCAGTTCAGTTCAGTTCAGTTCAAAATTTGACTGTTGAGGCAAACATAAAATCTGTTCACTCCCACATAAAAACAATGTAAAAAAACAACAACACAACAACCATATGTTCACATAAAATTTAAATAAAATTAAAGTGCAAAAGTTAAAGATAAAAGTAAACAAAAAACTGTGAAAGAAGAAAATAAAAAAAGTTAAAGAAAGGGGCTGGTCGCTGATCAGCGGATCTAATACTGTGAAATCACTAGTACAGTAGACTAATCAGTCTATACAGTGTAAGTAATATGATCATTGTGAGAGAGTAACAATAACATGTAATTAAATTACAAAATAATTGTAATTGTAATCAGATTGTAATCGTAATCAGATACAGAGACAAAATATGTGATTGAATTACAGTTGTTTCTGCAAACCACAGACACGTTACATTTGTACGTCTCATACATATCATAACAACTTTTCTAAAGTGACGGAGCATATGAGCTGACTTTGTCTTCAGGACGTGGAGGGGATGGTGGATGATGGATGGTGCGTCACATTGGTGAGATGCCTGCAAAGCGGCAGACCAACAAAAATTGTTGTTTTTAGTGAATCCTTGCTGTGTTTCCAGCAGCCTTTCAGGCACCATGGTTGCTTTTTAGCGACCCATTGGTGCCACGAAAAGCAGTTGTTTTCTACCAAAAAGTCGCTTCATTCCCTGCACCCAGTTTTTTGCCAAAACCTAATCACATATTCAGCACTGTTGAAACATGTTCGCTACATAAAAACATACAGATATAACGTGGGTTACGCGCACAATGCCAACATTTAATCTGGTGACTGGTTTGAGTTCTTTTGCAAGTATAGCTGCGTTCTACTATCTCTCATTGATGAAAATCAAAAAAATAATAAGAATTTTTGAACTGCAGGGAGCGCAATCATACAAGTCACGAGGGCAGTCTGTCATCATCCTTTTTGTGCAAGCCCAACCAACATATCCCCACTCCGACCTCGTCACATATCGACGTTTGGTCATGGACTTTCCATGACGGAATATGATGTGCAAGGTACCCTGGGTGCGTTGGTTGCTGATGTTCAAGGACCCCTGTCAATGAGATGCCAAAAACTGCAGTTCCCCTTGTGGCCACTTGAGGCTGGCTCTGAAACAGAGTCAGTCCCCTTAGAGCCCCATGTTAAAATGCTCAACTTTACAGCTGAAATAAACATGTTTACAGCCTCGTACAAAAAAACGTTCTGGCCTCTGTAGCTAATTTCAACATTAATGACAACTGCACAGGAGGGGGATTTTCAGGTAGCTCACCTGTTTATAATTTACTAAGGCTTAAAGTTACACATATTTAAAGGGCAGGACAAAAGTAAACTCAAGGCTTCAAAGTGGGAGTCCACAAACCAATGTGTGACATCACAGTAGCCATGTCCATTACTTTATACAGTCTGTTGTATAAACCAATCACTGATAACTGGCGTCTTCACAAAGACAAGCTGTAACCAAATGAGAAAAAGGGAAAATGAAGCGGATGAACGTAATGACAAACAGCAAGGTCTTATGCAATAAAAAGATCCTGTACACATCAGAGTTATTATTTAGTAAAAGACATTTTTTTTCAAGTCAGAATATATCTTCATTTTTGAGTACATGATACATATCTTATCATAGACTTTTTATCATGTCACTATTGCAACATGAGTTTTTTTTGTGTTGTTACGTTCCTAATTTAAATATATCCCGAGTTCCTCTCAAACAAAAGAACAAAAACAGATTGATTGTGTTTCTGCTGCTGTTGGAGGTTTTCTTCAGTCTGCTGCAGCTGCTCTCACATAAACTCCTCCACTCTCCACCTCTCTGCTCCATCCCACACATCAGACTGAAAAAACACGTCGTCAGCGTGGTGTATTTGCATATTTACAGAAATGACAGACTTCATCTTGTTATAGCCTGAATCAAACTGTCACCTTTAGCCAGTTAATGACATTAGTAGCAGGAAGGTGCAGAGAAAACGTCCCGTTACAGTGGATTTTGCAGGCAGAGGGAGAGCACGCTGAGTTTGTTTCTGGTCGATCGGATTCAGTTTGTGAGCAGGATGATAAATTAACATGAGCTGCTATCTAAACTCTGGCAGTTTGTGTCTGTGGCCACACACTCGTCTGCTCTGCCAGACGCTCAGTTCAGGTGCCAGTTATCATCGCAGGCTGAGTTCTGCTCTCCAGATCAGTTTGGCTCACAGATTACCGACTGTGGCAGCAGGTGAATGCTGGAATCCACCAAACAATGTTGATGGAAAAACTGCTCCAGTTCAGTCACACTCGAACTCTCTCACATATTCAATATGTGGTGAAGCAGGGAAAAAAATTTTGTCAGTCAGAATGAAGCCTTTAACAAACATGTTTTTTAATTATTATGGATGAAATAATTGTGCTATGGACAGTTACAAAGATTTACATAGAATCTGATGCTAAAAACCAAACAACTGCCATGTTATAAGTAGATATTTCAGTTAAAGTACATTATCTTTCCTCATATTTAAGTTCTAATTCAGGGCCGGGCATTACACTCACGGCTACTTGATTAGGTACACCTTGCTAGCACTGCCTTAGTTCTTGGTGGCATAGATTCAACAAGGTGCTGGAAACATTCCTCAGAGATTTTGGTCCATATTTATATGATAGCATCACACAGTTGCTGCAGATTTGTCAGCTGCACATCCATGATATGAGTCTTAAAAAAGTAGGGAAATGTTCTTTTCACTAGTATTTATCTTTTTGAAAAACTGTGC